GGTCCCTACAGAGAAAACCTTAAAGGGCAGAACTCACACAGCTCTGTTAATAACACATCTGATGTGTGAAGCCATCCAGTATTCTCATCTCTTGCCTTTCTCTTATTGTTCCCTCAAATAGAGTGCTAGATATGTTCTTGCTTTATTTGTACTGCTCTAGTGCTTCCACCTTTAACGAATGTTGGAAGGGTGCAGCAAAGCAGCAGATTGCGCTGGCTCAGTGTTTCACTAGCTTTGTTTTCAGGAGATGACTTTAACTGGTTAGCTTTCTCCATTTGGTCTTATTACTTCCAGTGCTGAACAAGATATTGCCTGGTGGTATTTTATTATGCTTGGTGATGCTGTACAAATTTTAAGCTGAACTTTTCTCTTCCATAGGATAAAAAATTTGTGGTTGGAAACAGCCAATTTGAATTCGAAGCTCCCGTTGATGAATCAGATGAAGGAAAATTTTCATTCATGAGTAAAGAGGTAAATGCAAAAATATGATTCACCTACCAAATATATTCAGTTCTTATAGTTCCAGTGTCCACATGTGTCCAGAAATATAGGGGTAATATTGGTTTCCCTCAGAGAAGGAAGTCACCTCTGATGGAGATTCTCCTTTAGTAGTAGCAGTCAAAGGCAGCAGCTTTGGCTCAGAGCTCCTGGGATCTCCCCTCAAAGCCCTCGATCTTTCTCCTTAATTTCTCTATCTATGCAATCCATAGATTCACTGAACTGTCCCTGGAGGAATTCAGGACCATTCCTCTTTTATTCTTCACTTTTTATGCAACCTGGTGAAATCAGTGGGGCTAAAAGATGAGAATTTCAGAGCTCTCATTCTCCAATTCATTATCTTTCCTATTTTACATCTGTAAAAATGGGAATGGTAACAGTATGCTGTTGTTTGGCTATTTACTAGCTATGCTTCTTTCACTCTGGTTTATTTTACAGGGAAAGGAAATAATATTCAAAAAACCAGTCTATTTACCAAGCTCAAAATTGGATTCATAAATGTTATGCTGACTTTAACCTTTATGTCTTATAAGCTTACTAACAGAGTAGTTTTGAGAACTAATTAGCATTTATGCAGCATTTGAGCCTAGCACAAAGCATTTGCTTTATAGAGTCATTGTATTTTTCTTTGTTCTTTTTCTTTCCCACTGGTTGTTATTGCTGCTGTCTTTCAACCTGAGCAGAAGCTCATGTCTTGGAGCATGCGAACCTTGTGCTTTGGCTATAACGAGGGGGTTGCACTGCAAAAGATGCAAGAGATTTCCCCTCTATGTGGTGCGAGTCTGCCGTGTCCACAGAAGTAATGGGGCCAGATGGTGTGGGAAGGGAGAACTCAGCAGGGTCAGCAGCTATACTTACTGAATCTGAACAGTAGCTTTGCTACTTGGATACTTATAACCAAATGTAAATTAAATTAATGAAAAGCGGGTATTCAGATATTGCTGTCCCTTGATACTTGAAAATTCTGATTGTGAAGGATTAGGTTCATTAAAACATTTTTCTGTAAATGTATTTGGCCAAGATGAAAAAAAAGACCGTAAGGTTTGGGATAGTTTCTAAAACCTTCACAGCTCTGATTGAGAATCATAGAAAACGCATGAAATTTACCTTGCCAAATGAAGGTATAAAGATCTCTATTGTGTCATCTTTTCCAGTTCTCCTATAGTGCAAATGAAACCCTACGACTTAACTTATCCATAAGAACAGATAAGGTCAAGATTGACAGCAAACTGATGGGTAAGTATGAAATACGGGATTAAAGGGAGGTTAATTACAGTAAACAGAAATCTATTCCTTCATAATTTGGAGTCATGTGACTAAGAAAGTTACCTTTGTAGGTTTTACTGGTTTGGGTGAAACAATTAAATCTGACAGATCAAAAGTCGTTAATACTAAACTCATGAATTAAACATCAGTGTTGTCTGTATTAAAGGCTGTTTTAAATATGCTACCATTATTTTCAAGTTTGCTTTTGCTCTGAAGGGCAATCTTAATAGTGAAGCTTCACAGTTCAGACGTACTTAAGTAGTTTGATTTATGTTTTTTCAGTAGCCATTTCCCCTTCCCCAATGAACTTGCCCCCTCCAACAGCAGAAAGGGGATCCTTCTCACTGCCACTCTTATGGACTTCACCTGAAATCTCAACTTGCAGCTGGGTCTCAGCTCAGACAGGTTCTACAGTCTTTATGTCTGCTGGCGATCAGCAGTACACAGAAACATTCAGTGTGCTTTCAGCTGATTACTTTATTCATTTATTTCTATGGCAACAAAAAGTATATTAAGTTTTACAGCACAAAGACTTGGTCTCTGATATAAATTGCTTATTTCTGTATTTTTATTTCTTTCAATGTACAACAATGAAGCAATTATGTCTGTGAGCCTAGTCCTGAGCTGAGGTGAAGAAGCTCCATCAAAGTCAGTGGAGCAGTATCTGGGAGCTGGGACATACCTCACACTTCTTTGGACTGAAGTTTGAGGCATAATCTTGCAAAAACTGCAAGGCAACACACTTGTTACTTGTGTGATGAGTCAACATCAGGAAAACTAATACTGCCCCCAAGTAATTTCCCCTGCAGATTAAATCTTCAGACCATATTTTTCCATCTATACAATATTTAAATTTATTCCCTTTCTTTTGGCAACATAAAAGTATGTTTTTAGAAGATTTTCCCTATGGCTCTGCGTGCGGTGTTGAAAGCACTTAAAAGAGGACCTGGCATGAATGTTACAGGGAGCTCATATTGCAATCTCACACTGTCTTAATTTCCATGGTAAAGGCTGTGGTGTTTAAAACTGCAGAATTTTGACCAAATATTCCCAACATCTTTTTTCCCAGTCTGGGAAAAACATAGAAAAAAAGAAGTAGCTAAATTATTAAAGAAATGTTATCATTCAAATTGAAATATAGAACCCTTGCAAGAGGGAAATTGAAAAATTATCAACAAATGTCTCTTTTTATTATAAAAGGGATTTTTTTAATCCAAATTCTCTCCTGCTTTTAAATTTCCTTGCCATATGAAATCCGGAGTATAATGGTTTTTATGCATCTTGAAAAGAATTGGCTTTGGGTGTATGGTTGCTGCTGAGAAGCACCTTTGAACCTGCCAGTGAAAGAACCCTTTCTTTGTATAACACTTAGTGAATACTAAGTTACGATAGCATTTTTACATCTCAAGCCATCAGGGGTTCTGAACAGTATGAAATCCAATATATCCCTTTTATCCTTTGTCCTTTTTATCAATGATTTCACAGCTGGTATCTCAAGGTGATGGATAAGAGTCTGAATCTAATGAGTGGCTTGCTGCTGGTACGTTTAATGAGCTGATCTGTGAACAGGGGGAGTGTTTAATGCTTTAAGGCCGTAGCTTTCTCCGTTGCATTTATGCGACTGGATGTAAGGGACATCAAGACATTGCAGCGCTGACATTGTTTACTGAGGGATGGGGTCAAAGTAATTCAGTAAGCATATTCCCATGCTGTATCAGGTGGCCATGTGGCAGCGTGGGTGGGAAATGCAGGGTTTAAGAAGGCAAGGGGAAGATTTGTTTAACAATATTACCTGCTCAAGTCCCTGCGCAGTAGCAGCCTTTCAGAGTGCTGGATTAAGAAAGCAATCTGGTTCCTGCGAAAGCAATTTGCAGCATAGACACAAGGAAACTTTTCCTTGCTGCTGCCCGCACTGACTCTTCTGCTTATAAAGGCAAACAGTAACATACCAATGATGTCTCGACTGAGTTTGTGCTGGTAGAGCTACATGAAATCAAGGGTTGAAACCAGCCTTCATCATTGCATTAACTCCTCAGTGTAAGGAAAAGAATAAAGACATGTTATTCTACTAAAGACTAGCTGTGAAACTGAATGCCAAGGTTTTTAAATATGCATCATTTAGAGAAAAACTGCCCTTATGAGGTTGTATGCTCTTATGCAAGTGGCAGAGGGACTGTAGCCAAGTTTGGGGCATCTGTAATATTGTTCATGCCTGGCAGGGGTATAAGGGCACTGCTGAAAAATAATGGAAACCAGCATTCTCATTTTACTTTTTCATTTCAGTAGGAATCTGACATGGTAGCCTCTTGGAATTAGATTTAAAAAGCTACTGCTGCTGCTGTTATCTAGGAAGATATCAAGTGCACTGAGATGTTAGTGACTGGAGGGTGCTTTTGCTGGTGTCCTTCCTAGAGTCCTGCTCCTCTGAGAATAAAAGCTTTCTTTAAGTAGACATTTTTGATGGCCTTTACCATATACAATCTCAAAGGGATTTATCCTAGTCTCTCTCGCCCACATCTGATAACCTCTGTTTACTTCGGTTTGCTTCCTGCATCTTTAAGGATGAAACTCCTTTGGAAAAAACCCAATGTCACGAAGGGTACCATTTCTTGAGACTTAATGAGCACATAAAACAGCTTATCACTACTGGAAAGGGGAGATGTTGAGTCTCTGTCTTGTACTCCCCACTCCCATCTGTGAGCGCATTTAACTCTTGAAAGAGCACAGGAGGAAACCTGGATAGTTTTCTGCTGTTCTGGTAAGTTAAGTTGATTTACAAGAAGACTCAACAAGTGCCAGAGCCTCGGTGGCAGAGGGTGAGGCTGTGTGGCCAGAAAAAAAGAGCAGCCAAAAATAGAGAGAAGCAGGGATGAAAGGAAGGAGCAGAAAAGGAGGGAGCAAGAAGTTCCTTTCTTTACGATAATTGGCTCACTTTCCCAGGGAAGCACAGCACTCACACACTGAATAATCTGTGCAACTTGCACGCTTCCCCTAGAGAAACGTGTGGCATCTATTCAGTCTGTTTTCATAAAATCATAGAATAGTTTGGGTTGGAAGGGACCTTTACAGGTCATCTAGTCCAACCCCCCAGACGTGGGCAGGGACATCTTCAACTAGATCAGGTTGCTCAGAGCCCCGTCCAACCTGACCTTGAATGTTTCCAGGGATGGGGCATCCCCCTCCTCTTCGGGCAACCTGTTCCAGTGCTTCACCACCCTCAGCGTAAAAAATTT